AACTAAAGGCACTAAAGTTAGAGCTGTCTGAGGATTTGCTCGTGCATTTAGTTGTCATATCTCTTCTTGCACAATATAATCAATTTAAGGTGGGCTATAACATCCAAAAGGAAAAATGGACTGTTAATGAGCTCATATCATATTATGTGCAAGAAGAGGAAATGCTTCAGCGAGATAAGACTAAAAATATTCACTTGGCATCAACCTCTCAGAATAAGAACAAAAAGAGAGCTATGGATACTACAGATGGAACACCTCAGCAGAAGAAGAAACTAAAGAAGCAGGATAAGGCATTCACCTGCTACTTCTGCAAGAAGGAAGGACATATGAAGACAGAGTGTTCCAAATACGCCGCTTGGCGTGTCAAGAATGGTAAGCTTCTCGCTTTGGTTTATTCTGAAGTTAATTTAGCTTCTGTACCTAAAGATACTTGGTAGGTAGATTCTGGTACTACTACTCACATAAGTATGTCTATGCAGGGTTGCCTGTGGAGCCGACTGCCAGATGATGCTGAAAGATTCATCTTCGTGGGCGAAGGCAAGAAAGTTCCAGTTGAAGCTACCAGAATATTTAGGTTACTATTAAAGACTGGTATCTATTTAGATTTGATTGAGACTTTTGTTGCACCGTCATTTAGACAGAATTTGGTTTCTATTTCTAGTTTGAACAAATTCGGTTGTACTTGTTCTTTCAGAAATAATAAAGTCAGTCTTTTTCATAATTCAAAAGTTATTGGTACTGGTTCTTTAATTAATAATCTTTATTTGCTTGATATTATTACTTCTGATAATGCAATTTTCACACTAGTGCACGAGGTGGAAATAAAAAATTAAATGAGAATTCTGTCACCCTATGGCACAAACGTTTAGGTCATATATCTAAACAGAGAATTGAGAGCCTTGTGAGTGATGGAATTCTTAGTCCCCTAGATTTGACAGACTTTCAAGTCTGTGTTGAGTGCATCAAGGGGAAACAGACAAATACAATGAAATTAGGTGCCGATAGGGCTACAGACGTCTTAAAACTTATTCATACAGATATATGTGGACCATTCCCTACGGCTTCATGGAATGGTCAACAATACTTCATTACGTTCATAGACGATTATTCAAGATACAATTACTTATACTTAATACATGAGAAGTCACAGTCAGTGGACGTTTTCAAAGAATTTAAAGCCGAAGTTGAACTTCAACTAGGCAAGAAAATTAAAGTTGTCAAATCAGATCGTGGTGGTGAATACTATGACAGATATGACGGATCAGGTGAACAACTTCTAAGACCATTCGTTATCTTCCTAAAAGAATGTGGAATCGTCTTGCAATACACAATGCCAGGCAAACCTGGCATGAATGGTGTTACTGAGAGACGAAACAGAACTCTTAAAGATATGGTGAGAAGCATGATTAGTCATTCTTCCTTTCTTGAATCACTTTGGGGAGAAGCACTAAAGACTGCAGTTTATATCCTTAACAGGGTTTCAAGCAAAGAAGTGGCCAAAACCCCTACGAACTATGGATTGGAAACAAGCCTAGCATTAGGCATTTACATGTTTCGGGTTGTCCAGCTGAGGCAAGGCCTTATAGGCCAAATGAACAAAAACTGGACTCAAGAACGGTTAGCTGCTACTTTGTTGGATACGCCGAACGCTCTCGAGGCTTCAAGTTTTACAATCCCACTATTAGGTCCTTCTTCGAGACGGGAAATGCGAGATTCCTTAGGATGTCAAGTTTAGGGGAGAAGATAAAGTAAGGAGTGTTGTCTTTGAGGAAGAAGATTTCGTTTCTCTTCCCAATATTGCTATTGTTAATGACCAGTCTGTAATACCTGCCATTGTTCAAGATGCAACTCCAGAACAAGACAACAATGAGGTTCCCCATGCAGCACCTATAGAGCAAATTCAACAACCTCAAGAAGTGCATTAAGGAGATCCACTAGAGAAAGGAAAAGTGCGATTCTAGATAATTATATCGTCTTTCTCTAAGAACATGAAGATGGTATGGGCTTAGGGGGAAGATGATCTGATCAACTTTCAATAAGCCATACAAAATGCTCAAAAGTGGATTGATGCCATGAATGATGAGATGAAATATATGAAAGCCAATGACATTTGGGATCTTGTCGAGTTACTTAAAGGAACGAAACCCATAGGTTGTAAATGGATATTCAAGACCAAAAGGGATTCAAAAAGTAACATCGAAAGATATAAGGCTTGTCTAGTCGCTAAATGATTCACTAAAAAAGAAGGCATAGACTATAAAGAGACTTTCTCTCCGGTTTTTTTTTGAAAGACTCTTTTAGAACGATTATGGCACTAGTAGCTCATTTTGACTTAGAGCTACACCAGATGGATGTTAAGACAACGTTTCTCAATGACGACATTAATGAGACGATTTATATGGTCCAGCCAGAAAACTTTGTATCTGGAGATTCAAAGTCCATGGTCTGCAAGTTAAAAAAGTCCATCTATGGTCTCAAACAGGCTTCCCGTCAATGGTATCACAAATTTAATCAAATTATCACTTCTTATGGTTTTGAGGTGAATGTGGTAGATGATTGTGTATATCACAAGTTCAGTGGGAGTAAATTCATCTTCCTGATTTTGTATGTCGATGACATATTACTTGCTAGCAGCGATATAGGCTTATTGCACGAAACCAAGAAATTTCTTGCTAAGAATTTTGAGATAAAAAATCTTGGTGATGCCTTTTTTGTATTAAGAATTCAGATACTACGAGATCGCTCTCAAGGTATCCTTGAGTTATCACAAAAGGGCTATATCGAAAAGGTTCTGGATAGATTTGACATGAAGAATTATTCATCATGAGATACGCTTGTAGCTAAGGGAGACATAGATAAAGGAAATGGAAAAGATTCCTTATCCATCAGCAATAAAAAGTCTAATGTATGCTCAAGTTTGTACTCGTTCTGACATAGCATTTATAGTGGGAGTATTGGGCAGATACTTAAGTAACCCAGAAATGGATCATTGGAAAGCAGTCTAATGGGTTATGCGCTATTTGAAGAGAACAAAGGATTACGTGCTCACTTATTGGAGATCAGACAGACTAGAGATCATCAGGTGTTCTGATTCTGATTTTGTTAGATGCCATGACAGTAAGCGATCCACGTCAGGCTATGTTTACATGTTGGCAGGAGGAGCTATTTCTTGGAAGAGTGTCAAGTAGACACTCATAGCTTCTTCTACCATGGTTGCAGAGTTCATAGCATGTTATGAGGCATCTAATCATGGGATGTGACTACAAAATTTTGTCACGGGGCTGCGTGTGGTTAACGATATTAAAAGGCCGTTAAAGATATTTTGTGACAATAAATTGGCAGTGCTATATTCTAATAACAACAGAAGCTCTACGAAATAGAAGCATATAGACATAAAGTTTCTTGTTGTTTAAGAAAAAATTCAGAATGGTCAGATTTCAATAGAACACATCGGGACAAACTCTATGCTTACAGATCCGCTAACCAAGGGATTAACACCCAAGGCCTTTCACGAGCACACTGCTCATATGGGTGTTATTTTATTTGAGGATACTATGGTTTAGTGGGAGTTGATTTTAATTATGGATGTTCTATCACATAAATATTTATTTGTTTATTTTCTGCAGAATGAAGAAGATGGATTTATAGTTTTATAATTTTCCCTCTGAATGTGTTAATTTTAGGTTTGCAATCTTGCATTATGTTTTGAAAATTACGGATTGATCTCATAAAGAATAAAGCAGGACCAGTTGGAAATATGCATGTTGGAGATCACTTGCATGTATTTCCATGCCACCTATACATACTCGATCTATGTCATTGAATATGTTGGTATGGTGACTATGAGAGGTTTAGTTGCATTTGAGGGTGACAAAAGCCGACATGATCTCATGCTAATATAAGATATGGACCAGATTGTATCTTAAGTGGAGACTAAGGATAAATAGCATACGGTTGCGTGCCTAAGGAATTATGTATGATATAATTATTTTAGGAATCATATGTTGCCAAAGTGGGAGATTGTTAGGAAACGTGGGTTTCCTATATTGTGGGCCACATATTTATTCAATAATTATATTAAACTATTTAATTAATTGGACTAATTAAGTGATCTAATTATGGAAATCCCAAATAGTCTCCTAACATGGTATGCGCTGAATGAGTGGACACCCATATTGACTCAATTAGGTTTAATGGGAGCCTAATGGGGCAGTATATAAAGAAACTTAGGTTATGGTCCCCAATACGTCAAATTATTCGGCCATTTTCATTCTTCCCCATCTAGAGAGAAAACACCCCATTAAGGAACTAAGGAGATTTGACTGAGTAAGGCAATAACCGTCGTGCTCATAATCTCAGAGAATATTACTGGAGATTCAAGGCTGCATCAATGGAGACAAGTATTTATTCTAACTTATTTTCTTAGTAATTTGGTGTGTTGATTCCTGGAATGTGGAATAAGAATTTAAAGATCCAACAATAATATGATAATTATCAACAATGATGTTTATCGCTTTCCATTTTTCCAATATGTAGAACTTCACATGAAATGAAAGTAGATCATATAAGGTCTCATTCATTTTACTGATTTGAGTTCTTAGTTTTAAATTTTTAGAGTTAAAAGCTCTTAAAAAATATGACATTTAACTTTTTCTGCTATAGTTAAAAATTCTCAGAAAATATCATATCTCAGTTCAAATTAAAAATTAGAATCTGCGAAGCGAATTCTCAGAAAATATCATATCTCAGTTCAAATTAAAAATTAGAATCTGCGAAGCGAACGATCCCTAAATGTTTACCATACTGTTTATACTATGGTTTTGACCAAGCTCTATTAGAATGCAAATGAGTGGTCCAATTATTAAAGATAAAACATATCCTTAGTGGCTTTCATTGTTTTTCTTTCCTTTATATATATGTGTGTGTCTAGAGCTCCGCCCATTTCATATTCCATCCATAAAAGAAAGAAAAAGTAGTAAACAAAGAGCATATTAAACCAACAGAATAAAGTTCCTATACGTATCCCATAAGTTTGGATGACTACTAAAAACTTGGAACTGGATAAGAATGCCCTTATGCCTCCACGTTTCATAGTCCTTCAAATTATCTTTTATTATACAATATTAACATCATTATAAATTTCTTTCTCGTACGGCAATAAAACAATTCTTGTCTACGTATTAAATACATAGGGGGGAAGACTAGAAATGATCAGGCCAATCCTCCGTAAGTAAACTGTTGAATTCCTAAGTGGTTTTATTTTTATTTTTATTTTTATTTTTATTTTTATTTTTATTTTTATTTTTATTTTTATATGTAATCCATTACAATTTACAGGCTCAAAAGCTCGTTGGATTATGCCTTACTTGGTAGCTCCAAGAGCTTCCTCAGTCTGTAAAGACCCTTTTCACTGCTCAACTTTTTCTGGTTTAACCAATTCCTTTCTGGGCCTTCCCAGAAGATGTTCTGGCTCAGATCACCAAGTAAGTTTTTGCGTGCTCTTCTTTCTCTTGTTTATTTATTCATTTTTGTGTACCTTTAATTTACTTTATTCGGTTTATATGTAAATTATAGAGAATGGCGAAGACAAATTTTGCACAAGTTGAGGAAACCCATTTCAGATTACTGCCTTCTATCAAGTGAGTTCATATTTCTATGATTTATTTTATTTTATTTTATTTTATAGAAGTAAAATAAAGTTTAACTATTTGTCTGGATTATCTATTTGCAGAAGGAACCCCATTCTGAGGTTTGAAGGTCCAAGTGATGATAACTCTGGACTTGCTAAAAGCCATTTAGGCTTTAAAGTTGGAAATTTGGATTCATTTGATGAAATGAAACAGAGGTTCCTGAATTTCAAGAAACGTGTATATTTGTAAGTAGCAGTTTAACTCCTTTTTAACTGGGGGAAAAAAAGATCGCTGTCTTGTGAATAAGTCATGTACTCTATTCATTTGAACAGGGAAGAATTGGAGCATTATCGTATACTTGCCGAAGTACAAGCACCTAAGGTACTACGTAATTACAATATTCAATTTTCTCTTTTTTTTTATAAAAAAATAATGACTTTGGCTAATTCTGTACAAACTCACGAGTTCAAGAAACAGTTTATGGTGATTGCTTGTGTAGACTCAAGGGTATGCCCTTCTAACATCCTAGGATTTCGGCCCGGTGAAGCCTTCATGATTCGAAACGTTGCAAACTTTGTTCCTCCACTTGAAGTACCTCTCTTCTATGCCTTCCTTAATTCACATCATACCTGGATTATTGAACTACGGAATCTTACTGCCTTAACAACTTTTCTTCGCAGAATGGACCATCAGAAACCAATGCTGCGCTCGAGTTTGCGGTAAATACTCTACAAGTAAGAACAACTTCTGGCCATTAAATTATCTTACAGTTGACTTGTTATGTTATGACTGTCAAAAGGTTTTTAAAACAGTTCACGTATGTGCATTTCGTATAATGAAAACCAATTGAAAATCATCTGATCTAACTAGTAAACAACCAAGCGCCGTAAATGAGTTGGAAAAATGACAAATGCTGTCAAGAACTTCATTCCAACTTTCTCTACACGACTAGACTTCTTGATTCAAAACTGTTTTGTCACTGATTTCATCAGGTCGAAAATATATTAGTCATTGGACACAGTAGATGTGCAGGAATTGAGACCCTCATGAACATGCAAGATGATGTCAATTCAAGGTCTGATTATAGAATTCCTGTGTCTAGTAATAGTTTACTTTTTCTTTTTTTAAATAGTAATAGTTTACCGGTTACTCTCTAATAATTACTTAACTATATATATATATATACACACACACATATATATAGCTTTGTTCACAACTGGATGACCAAAGCGAAAGCTGCCAAGTTTAAAACAAAAGTAGCTGCGCCACACCATAGTTTTGACAAACAATGTAGACATTGTGAGAAGGTGAGGCCTTCACAGGACTCCTACATTAATGTTGAAACATATTTCTAATTAATTTTACCATAAAGTTTAATCCTGCTCATTTTGTTACAGGAATCGGTCAATATTTCGTTGCTTAATTTATTGACATACCCGTGGATAGAAGACAGGGTGAGGAAAAACCAGCTCTCAGTCCATGGTGGGTATTATGATTTCTTGAATTGTACATTTGAGAAGTGGACTCTTGATGTCAAGGGTAGCGACATTGATGGTGGTAGATATTTGGTCAAAGATCACGCATTTTGGTCTTGATTTTGTTGCTTAATTTCTTGTCATACTGTGATGTGGAAATGGAGGTTTTTCTGGTAAGTAGGGGAACTGCATTGTAAACGGAGTCCAAATGTATTACAAAACAAATTCACACTTGTGTGGTGTAACTTTTTTTCTTCTTTTCCCTATTGTATATTGTTATTCTTTATGGAAAAAAAAAAAGAACACTAAAAGCATATGCTTCGTTTTTAAATTTCAACAGGTTGGAAAAAAATGGTATTTCAAGAAGTAAAAAAAAAAAAAAAAGATGTTAGACTCCAAGTTATATTGTAGGAATAAACCTAGAAGGTAAGCTGATTACTCCATGATTAATGTAGCCTCTGTTTATTTCACTAGTTTAGTTCAGTTCAACTAAGCTTGAACGGTGGACGCAGTTTGAATTAACACTCAGTTCAAATTTTATTTTCCATTTGAATTAAGTTAAACTGTCAAATTTAAAGTTTACTTCTCCTTAAGTTCAATCATTTAAACTATTTTTGAATAGTAAAAAAATAGAAACTCTCTTTGCTTTTCATACTTATTAAACACAAATTCAAATTTAATTATCTGTTTAGATTAAAATTTTAATTATATATTTAAATGTTAATTTAAACTATTTAAATTTTTTTTAAATAAAAAAAATTAAAATCAGCAAAATTTGAACTAAACAACTAAACAGCGGCGTTATTTACGGTGGACCAGTTCCACGTACGAAGTGCAAATAATATGTCGTTTTTTTTCCCCTGGAACGGCAGGAACGTTTAGGCAGAAAACGACCAAGTGTTCCTGAAATAGGTGAGCGACATCCAACTCTTTATCGTTTGTTTGAAGTGAAACTCAGAAAACGGGCAGATTTTCACGACAAACCATGCCATTACCGTAAAGTAAATGTCAAACGACATGAAACTTCCTTATGACAAACAATGTCGTCTTGATCTGAACGACAGAAAAATTAAAAAGCTTGAAACAGATAAAAAACTTTCAGCGAAAGGACATTTTCATTTTGTTTCGTTAAGCGGCAGGAGACTTGTGCAATCTTGTGGACAAATTATGTCGTTGCTTTGTTGATCTTAATCTTAACCACAAAAAAAAATTTCAACTTAAAACGACACAAAACTTTTCACAGAAATGGCATTATCATCTAATTCGTTAACTGCATGAGACTTCTATACGACAAATCAAGTCGTTTTACAGGCAACAAATAGCATTGACAAAAAAAAAAAAAAAAAAAAAAAAAAAACGGCAGGGGCTTCCTGTATCCGGAAGAGCAGCAACAGTGTGTTAGTTTAGTAGTCATGAAAAATATCCAATAAATCGAAGAAGAAGAAGAATCCAAGCGCCAGAGCTGAGGAGATAGATTCTGAAAAGCTCGATTCGAAGTAGCAGAGAGAGAGAGAGAGACAGCCATAACTATGATCTCGCAGTTCTTCGTGCTTTCCCAGCGAGGCGATAACATCGTTTTTCGCGACTGTGAGTTTCTTTCTCTTGAATTTCAATTCCTGATTGATCTCTGCTCGATCTAATTCTTTCCTTACCGTTGTCTAAATCGATTTTGTAGTTATGATTTTTCGCGCCGATCTATGTTTTCTCAAATGAATTATAGCTCATCTTTACTTAAAACCATCATTTTTTCAACTCTCTTAGTCAACTCAGATCCAGAATCTTTATCATTATTTTCGTTTTAAACCATATCTTTCTATCTATTTTGTATAATTGGTATTTGTATGATTTCTATGGTTGCTCTTTGGAAGTGAAAAGTGAGAAATTGGGGAAGAGGTTAAGCAGAATTTATATGTTGATTAAGGAGTGTGATTAATGAATCTCCTCGCATAATTAATCCTCAATTTCACTGATTCCCAAGCTAATTTATTGTTTTCAACCGGGAAAATGTTAATTAGTGGGACTTTTTTCGTCGATGCAGATCGAGGTGAAGTAAAGAAAGAAACGGCGGATGGGAAAATGTTAATTAGTGCTACTTTTTTCGTCGATGCAGATCGAGGTGAAGTAAAGAAAGAAACGGCGGAGATATTCTTCCGCAAAGTGAAGTTTTGGAAAGAGGATGGCCAAGAGGAGGCTCCACCTGTCTTTGTAGGTATTATCTTACCAAATAATGTTGATTTTGGTCAATCAAAAACTACCCTCTGGTTGCTCTTTACAGCGCTTTAAAGTATGTCTAGCAAATTGTAATACTTCCAATAGTCTTTTGATGGGAACTTGGTATTCTAATTTCCTCAATTTCCTTTGCTCTTTTTTTTTTTAATGGAAAAAATCAAATGTTATAAGATATAAATTCACGTGCTTAATATTTTATATTCAAATGAAGCATTTTAATTTCCAGTATACGTCTAAATGGCTATAGTATTCTCAAACTTTGCTTGGCTAAGAGATTTTAGTTCTACTAACCATAGGCAGAAACAGATTCAATAAGATATATAGCTGTCATAAAATTACTTACTGACATTAGATTGTGTTATAAAGTGCTCCATTCTTATATTTTCTCGGGTTAATTTTTTTTGTTTATTTGTTTCAATTGATAGAACGTGGATGGTGTCAACTACTTTCACGTGAAGGTTGTGGGATTATTGTTTGTTGCAACCACAAGAGTTAATGTTTCCCCATCTCTTGTCTTGGAGCTTTTACAAAGAATTGCCCGTGTCATCAAAGATTATGTCGGGGTTCTCAATGAAGATTCATTACGAAGAAACTTTGTACTTGTCTATGAGTTGCTCGATGAAGTCATTGTAAGCACCTATCTTTTGTTTTGCCTTCTTATGTTTGGTTCTTGAGCATATGTTTTACTTCATCCCAGATGTGCTAAGTAGTTTTTTGGTTAGAGTGGATTCTATAGGCCCCATTGAAATTTGTGCTGCTTATAGTCTTGGATCATCAATTGCCCTTTATCTTGGCATTTAGATCTAGCAAGATTTTGCATCTTTCTCGTCGATTAGCCGTTTTCCTATTTATTATAGCAATTGTGCTTTCCGTGACCCATATAAGTAGTGATTGTAAGTGAAAAAATGTGGTTGATTTGATTTGCTCTGAAATGTTCAAGAATACAAATCAGTTCCACTTTTTGTTTGACTGCACTGTTTTGTTTCCTTTTTTATTTTATCGGACACTAGTTACTTATTGTGTTATTCATTGATTGATACATAGAATTAGAAATATATTGGCTTGAATGTAGCTTGATATCATTTTCTTCTGACAGGATTTTGGCTATGTCCAAACGACATCAACTGAAGTGTTGAAGTCCTATATATTCAATGAGCCAATTATTGTTGATGCTTCCCATTTGTCTCCTCTTGGTCCTGCTGGCCTTTTTATGGTCTGATGCTGCCTATTTTGTTTAATCAGTTAATGTATATAAATGACTGTTGACTTATCTAAATTGTAATATGCTTGCAGCAAGGAACCAAAAGAATGCCAGGGACTGCTGTCACAAAGTCTGTTGTTGCAAATGATCCTGGGGGTAGAAAAAGAGAGGAAATATTTGTGGACATAATTGAGAAGATCAGCATCACTTTTAGCTCTAGTGTGAGTAGATGTCTCTACAGTTGACTCTAGTAGTTCTAATTATTTTGTAACAGTCCAAATGTATTGCATTTCCATTCTTTGTCTTTCTCAAAATCTATTAGTAAAGATTAGTTCTAATTAACTTTTCTCTGTATGTTTAGCGCATGACTTGTCATTTTTTTTTAAACCAGGGATATATACTGACATCTGAGATTGATGGCACGATTCAAATGAAAAGCTATCTTACTGGAAACCCAGAAATCCGATTAGCACTTAATGATGACCTGAACATAGGAAGAGGCGGGAGATCAGTATATGGTACTTTTCTTTATATAAGTTATCTGCTCCAATTGTGTTTAAGTTTACTTTCTGCAACATAATTTAGATAATTGATGTGCTTTTGTAGTTGTTGAGTAGATATATGATCAACTATGATATGCTGATATTAAAGATTTGGATTCGGAGAAAAATCTTGTTGTTCTTATGGTTGTGCTCTATGTTATAAATTGCTTGATCATAAATATGATGTGCTAGCTCTGTATTGTTTGATAAATAATCTTGCTGATTCTTGTCAAGATCTATTGTTCTTTTCCAATATTCTTGCGAGCCTTTTCTTTTTTTTTTTTCCTTTCACCATCTCATCTGAGAAGGCATTTCTTTCTCAACAGACTATAGTAGCTCACTTGGCTCAGGCTCTGTGATACTCGATGACTGTAATTTTCATGAATCCGTGCGTCTTGATAGTTTTGAGGTAGACAAAACCTTAACGCTGGTAAGTGAAAGATTGACATTATGAGATTAAGATCTTAATTATTTGCTACCTGACTTTTTAAAGCACTAAATAGATTTGGCCATACTTGTGTAATGTTTGCTAGGTTCCTCCAGATGGTGAGTTTCCTGTCATGAATTATCGTATGACCCAGGAATTCAAGCCTCCTTTTCGTGTTAATGCTTTGATTGAAGAAGCAGGAGCCCTTAAGGTGAATACTATCTCACCATTTTTTATTTTTTTAATTTGAAAGAACATATTCAGTGTGACATAAAACTGGACTATTGATACGTTGAGTGGCCTGGTGTGATGGTGTTATGGTCACCTTCATTATATGCCTCTTACGAGTCTAAATTATTCATTGCAATGCAATGTTCAAACTTAATATTTTATTAAATGATTTCAAGACGGTTAGAAAGATAACACGTTACTTACACAGGATGAAGGGATTGTTAAAAGATATAGGCCATATTTGATGTCATTTTTATTTATTTTTTATTTTTTATTTTTGAATTGCAATTGCAGGCTGAAGTGATTCTAAAAGTATATGCCGAGTTTCCCTCTAGCATTACAGCAAACTCAATTGTCGTGCAAATGCCACTTCCTAAATATACTATGAGGTAATTTATGTATTTCCTCGTTTATCTGTGATGTTGACAAGGTTAAGGTTTGATTTGCATTGCTTAGGTTCTGCTAATTAGGTAATAAGTTTCTAGAGTTTGTACATAGAACTTTTGTTTTAGGAATTTGAGAATGAACTAAGTGAAGCTAGTGGAACTAACCAATTACGTGTGAATTGTATATCAAAAAGACCTATTCTATAGTTTCATAGACGATGCTCTTTGGATCATCTAACCATTTTAGAAGGAGGTTTGGCCTTGTGGATTGCACGAGTAACATCCAGTTATTTAGACTATTAGTGGCTCTTGTGTTGATTTCTCGTGAAGAAACAGTTCAAAGTACATTTTGGAAAAAATAAAGGGAATTGTAGAGTTTTAAAGTGCATTTCTGAAGTAATTCAGACAGCAGAATATTGAACCACATATGAAGTAGACCATGTTTCTTGTCGATTATTTACTATTTCTTTGAAGGTAACTATTTGTCCCGTATCTCAAAAAAGTTTCATTTATTTGCATCTTGAATCCCAAAAGGAAAGCGGGACAATTTAATCGCAATATAAGTTTGTGCTTTACCTTTCCAATTTTTGTTATTTCAGAGCTAGTTTTGAGTTGGAACCTGGAGCTGTTGGACAAACAACAGATTTCAAGGAAGCAAATAAGAGACTTGAATGGAGCTTAAAGAAGGCAATATTTTCTAATCAATGCTTTTTTGAGTTTTCAATATTTATATTTTTTGTAGCTAATCAGATAGTGGGAAACATTATCCTCTTACTACATTTACTGTGCTTCACTCGAGAAAATGAGTACTGACACGTGCCATGAAAAACAGATTGTTGGAGGATCTGAACATACGCTGCGAGCAAGGCTAACATTTTCACAAGAATCACATGGTAGGTTTATGTTATTAGTTTAAATTAAACAGCTCTCTTGGTGGTTTCGTTTGGCTAAGTATATCTTGGATCTTTTATTTACACCTGTTCGTTATAATTTTCAATGTTTTTGTTATGTTTTTCACTCAAATACAGGTAACATAACAAAAGAATCAGGTCCCGTCAGCATGACATTTACAATACCAATGTATAATGCCTCAAAGCTTCAGGTAATGAACGTTTTTAAGATGACGTCTATCCAACCGTAAAACTGCCGATTCAAGTAATAGCTTAAATATAGTCAACAGTATCAGATCTGTTAACTACAAAATTGTATAATAATAAAAAGGGTTTTCAGCGCTTTTGATCCTGAACTTTTAGGGAATTGGCGAGTTGCCCGTGGACTTTTAGTTTTAGTAAATTATCCCCTAAATTTGATAAAATGTTGGAGCGGTTCCCCAAATCGATGAAGGATGTTAAAAATAGAGATGCCAATTGGGCCGGGCCGCCCATCGAGCGTGATGGCACGGCACGAAAAAATTTGGGCCGAGCACGGCATGGCACAAGATTTTCATGGGCCGTGCTAACCACGACATGAGGTGGTGGGCCGTGCCGGGCTCATAGTTTTAAGTAACACGGGTCTAGCACGACATGGCACAATGACAAGCACGAGCACAACATGAGCACGAGCACGACACAACCCATTGAGCACGATGGGCCGGCACAACGAATATAATTTTTTCTTTTGGTTTTTTTTTGGTTAAATTTTACGTTATTTTACTATTTATAAATTAGTACTTATGATGACATCTAAGATTTTTGCTCTTTTTTTTTGGCTTAGTAAATTTTTTTATTTGAAAGTGTTAGGTGATTCAATGGTTCAATGGACTGGCCTAATATCTATTGTGTCAAGCACGATAAAGGCACGAGCACATATGGGCTTGGGCCGGGCCGAGCCTATGATAGGTGTTCGGGCCCATGGGCCGGGCCGGGCCTATGATTTTAAATCTTGGGCTGGCACAAGCATGACACGAAGTTTCGATGGGCCAGGCCAAGCATGGCACGAAGCATGCATGGACCTAGCCGATCATGGGCCGGGCCGGCACAATTGACATCTCTAGTTAAAAATTTGAAAGGAGACACCTGTGTATGCATCATGATGTGCTATGTTGTCATTTGAAATTTGAATCTCTGACTTCAAACGAGCATGCGTGACAGGTGCAGGGGAGTTTTCAATTAAATTTTTACAGTCATCATCAATTTGGGGGCACTTTGCAACACTTTAACAAAATTTAGGGTATTTGTCAAAATTAAAAATTTAGGGACAACTCACCAAATTTGAAAATTTCGGGTGCAAAAGTACCGAATTCCCTAATTAAGAAAAGGTTAATAAAACCTAGATGTTTTGGACTGGTTTGATCAGTTATTCAATATATGCGCACGGACCTAGACGGGTTTTGCTCAACAACATTCTTCATGGATTGTTAAGATTTTGGAGAGCTAAATTGTGCTATCTATCTTCTTGGATGCAGGTGAAATACTTACAGATAGCAAAGAAATCTGGAACTTATAATCCATACAGGTGGGTGAGATATGTTACTCTGTCCAATTCCTATGTTGCTCGTTTGTAAAATGGTCAAAGCTTCACCTATTTGCCCTGCTTTTCTGATGACTTTCGCTACATCACCTATGATGATTGAATTGTATTTTTGATTAATTATTTTGGCCATTTGTAGTTGCTTTCCGTTAGCATTTTGGTCAACTCCTGCGGGAGTAGACTCATTCTTTTTTGTTTTTTTTTTTGGTATCCTACTGAAGGAAACTCTCTCACAAAAAAATGCGTGACTAATAAAGATTATTTCAAGCCGAAAAGTAAGAAAATTTTGTATTTAAATTTACTTTGACTCAATTGTGCCAAATATGGCAACTATGACCAGCCATTCCAACGTGCTAGAAGGTAATAACGATGTATTAGGGTAGTGATGACATTTCGTGATGTTGACTTTGACGAAGATGCCTGCCAAATATGGCATGCCAATGTACGAACCTGTTTAACAATGCTGTCTCGTAATCAAAGAGTGAAGACATGGTATTGTCAATTTTGATGTCTTTTTTTGGGTTTAGTTGGACGTGTTGATTTCTGAACAAGTACTACAGCTTTTTTCTCCGCATGGTATTGATCTCTTATTAAAGCCCTCGTCAAGTACTTGGGTTCAAATCTTGTTAATTTCAACGTATGCTGAAAAAAAAAACAAAAAACAAAAAACAAAATATCTCTCCCACTTGAGCAATTTTGACCTGATAAGGTACGTCTGGGATTGATTTATCGTCTCTGAGTTGTCTGTTCTAATGTTGTTGCCATCTATTGGGTTTGGACATGAGAGACGTGCTGAGGCAGAACTAAATGCCACTTCGGGCTTCGGATAACTTTGTTAAAGTGAACACGCAAAATTAAGGTCCCGTTTATTTCACTGATTTGAATTTAGAATTCGAGTTTTGTTACAGTAAAAAGTTTTTATAAACTCACATAAAGTCACATCTCAACTCGAATTAAAAACTTGAATCATCAAACTAAACGGGCGCTAAGTGAATAGATTGGCACAACGACTTGATATTGTGGTTCGGTAACTGTCTATATCTACGGGGCTACACCCAGACATTGAATTATCCACTAATTCTCAATGATTACAAACACCAATTTGACTTATACAAATAAAGACTCCTTCTTTGAATTTTTTGCTGTCGTGTAGAATCAACTAGATGACCTGATGCATCACTCATTTTTAAAACTGTACGGTGAAATCCATTCGTCTAGTAAGTCGTTTTCTCCCGAAAGCTTTAAATTCTTCTCCTGAAGAACGATAAACTGTTGAACTCCCTTCAACACTGCAAACATCTTCTCTCGAAAACTATTACTTCTTCTTCTGAAGAATGATAATGGGAACTTCTCAAAATATTACGCGTGAAACCCATAAAAGCCAACATAATGAATGATTTTGAGTTCTATTTATAGAACTTTTATTTCTTATCTTCAAGTTGGCACAATCTAATTCTATTTCAAATTATCTCCACATCTACATTATCTTCAAGTTGGTATTCGCCAAATTCAAATCTCTAGATATTATTTGGATAATAACCACAATTTAAATCTGAATTTACTTGGCATCTATGCAAGCTTCATATACCTTTTAAATTCGATTCTAAATTCTTCTAGAACATATCTTCACCATGCAAGCTTTCTCTCCCATTTAAATTTAAATTCACATCTCTAAAAATCTCCACGTGCTTTATCAAACAAACTCCACAAGCACATTCTCTTTTTAAATCTTCAAATTCAAATTAGCCACTCATTGACAGATTCAGATTTAGCAAGTTTTCAAATCCGATCTTCTAACAAAATATCTTCTCAAATTCAAATTCGGATTATGCAGTAAAATCTCCAAATCCGATACACTTGATCTTCCACGGTTGACAACCTACAGAATTTGAAATTTAATTTTCCTCCAAATCATATTCAGATTATGCATTGCAACTTCAAATCCGACTTGACTTGGTCTCCACCAAAATATCGTTCTCATTCAAATTCGAGTTCTACGTTAGAGCTTCTCAAAACCATATAAGCAACAGCCCACAATCTCCACGAAATCCGATTCATCTCCATTCGAATTATCACACAAAATCTACGCCTATTCCTGATAGAATCTCACCACAACTTCAAATAAAAATCAGGTTCAGAATCTCCACACAATCCGAATCTGACTCAAGTCCACCAAGAACTTGTTTTTGAATTTGTTTACCCATAAATGCCAACTAGATAAAAACCTTACACTTAGAATTTAGAGATTATGTTAGTGATTATCTTTTTTTTTAAGTATTAGTTATTAGGAGATAAATTCTTACGAAATTTATGATAAAAGATGTTAAGTGAGAACAATTTAAAATTTATGAAACAAAATAAGAGTTTTTAAAATTTAAGGGGCAAACAAAAATGACCTCAAAATTCAGAGGCATCGGTCAAAATAATCCCTAAAAAGAAAAACAAAAACAGAATATGCTCCTAAAAAGAATCTCTCTCTCTCAAAAAAAAAAAAACCCGACCATAAAAAATAATAAAATAAAAAGTTTATAAGCAGTTAAATTTTGAAGGACAAGCTATACAAACTCCTATTTAAAAGACATGCTTACAAATTTGGAAGGAGAAAGAATCAAATTCCTTAGACCTTTCTAGAATCTACTTGGTTTTAGAGCTAGCTTTGACGTAATAAAAACGATGTCCGCCTAGCACTAGTACTGATTAGTTTACAACTCCTTCAGATTACATGCATGGCAAGTAAAAAGAAAAAGAACCATTCCAAATCACTAGTATTATCTTTTTTTTTTATCTTATTCATTTGGCTTTGCTGCGAGCCCATGCTTTACACAGAGAGAGAGAGAGAGAGAGAGAGAGAGAGAGAGAGAGAGAGAGAGAGAGAGAGAGAGAGAGAGAGAGAGAGAGAGAGAGAGAGAGAGAGAGAGAGAGAGAGAGAGAGAGAGAGAGAGAGAGAGAGAGAGAGAGAGAGAGAGAGAGAGAGAGAGAGAGAGAGAGAGAGAGAGAGAGAGAGAGAGAGGGAGAGAGAGGGAGAGAGAGAGAAAGAGAGAGAGAATAAATAACATATTAGCATTAATGACTTCTTTTTCTTTTTCCCTGCTTGGAATGAGCTGCATTCATGACTTGACGAAACCCTCTTACGCTATACGGCCGATGATGGATTGGACGAAGTAGATTTTCTTTAAGAAGCTGTAAAATTTCTTCTTTTATAGAAACCAAGGAGAAGCATGACCTAGAAATTTTCACTTTAATTTGCTTTTTCTCAGGAGAAGGTTAAAAGCAACTTGTATATATATACATATATATGTTCGTTAAATTAAGACAACCCTTTTTTGTTATTCATCTCCCATAGAGCGACTTTTACAAACTTGGATCTCCCTTTTAAATTTAAGCTCTTCCTTTCAGAAATACTTGTAGCTAGGTATACCTAGGAGCTGTCTGATCTCCGATTCTTTTATGTATAAAGTTCTTAATTCTTTCAGCCTTAGGAATTGTAACTGCTCTTCAAATCCACCAATTTGGACCGACTTTTTCTTTCTCTCTCTTTCTTTTTGGGAGCCTAAATCAAGGTCGTACTTACTTATGGTCTAAAAAGTTAAAAATATGTATAATTCTTCAAAACACATGATATTCTATTAGTACATTCGTCAACAATCAAGATTTTTTTTTTGTTTTTTTATAGAGGTGTGAATTAAATCAAATTTTCAAACAACTATCTTTCTTTTTTCCTTAGCAAAAAAAAAAAAAAAAAAATATCTCTTCTTTTTTAGTCAAATGAACCAAGTTTTTAATTGTGTTTAACTCACCTCTTAAAAATGTCAAACATTTAAAAATGTCATGATTACACTTTTTAATTTATATTAAATGTTATTTTAAATATGATTTAACTAAAAAGTTAAATAAAAAATTTAAAAAAATGCCTAGATAAATATTTCAATCAAAGAAATACTTCAATTATTTTGAGAGTTTTTTAATTTTTAAGATTGATTTTATTTAACATTTAGTTTAATAATGATTTAAATTGTATTTAATAAAGATTAGCGAGTGTAATCTTTGTACTTAAAAAAAATTAATTGCGTCAAGGTATGTTATGGGTGTGTTTTTATAAACGTGAGAGGTGTTTTGAGTATTTACTTTTATAAATGGGTGAAAGTGATATTTTGATAAGACAAATGAAGGTTTTGGATTTATCCCATAAACTATTACAGCATTATGTAATTTTCCTTTTCATTTTCTAATTTTTAGGATTTTATAAAGCATTTCCTGTTTCACCAGAAAAGACAAATAGCAAAGATTTTTCTTTAGATATGGATTATAATAGTGTTTGAACTTTGAAGTTCTCAAAGTCATATATTTTCAATTCTATGCGAAGGCTTGAACGATATGTATCATTAATTTAGCAAAGCTCGTAGTAGTTGGTTAGTAGAAAAGGAGGTAAAGTGAGCAACGAAAATGGCTTTTACAATTCGTTGGTGGGATTTTTCTTCACGGGAAAGTAATTTGGAGAAAGTTTTGTCAAACTACAACAAATAAATTTGACTTTGTTGATAATATAGGTGCAATGTTTCTTGTGTGTCGAATCCTACAAATCATATCCCGATATGATCATATTTGAAATATTTAAAACACCAAAACGCATAGTCTTTCCTATATAGCCAAGAGAATTATTGAATTTGTAATGTCAAATTTACCTGATTTCTTTTCCTAAAACACCATATTATTGTTTATTTTTTTCATTGAAGTAATATATATTGTCAGAAATTAAAGAGATATGGTGCAATTAAAGAGCTAGATGATCATTAATATATGTGTTGCTATCACACTAATAATTCCAAAATCCAACAGTCGCTCTCATTTTATTTTTCTGACGCGTTTTTAGATTTAAATTAAACAAACTATTGACTGCCTTTTATTTGATTGAATGCAATTACCTGTAATTGGATTAATGAAGCCATATTTTTAACGTGGGCAAAGAAAACACTTGATGATTTTGACTTGACTTTTCACTCAAGATATATAAAATACTTTTATATATATCTTACACGACAGGTCTCATTTTTAAGTCGTGTTCACTTGCCAACGGAGTAAGAACCATGCAAACTACTGGTCTTCACTTCACTTAAAAACAAAAATAATAATAAAAAACAAAAATAAGAAATAAAATTTGATCACTTTGTTATAATTGGAAGTATTGGTCATGCAAGATAAAACTGCTTTTGCTTCATGAAGTCACTCTTTTCTCTTTCTATTTTGCTTGGGATTTAATTAACCTTTCTTTGAACTTTTCTTGTCAATTTTGTAATTTAGATATTTTCGGTGGCCACCCAAAATATCGTCAAGTTACTTACAAAATAAGTAAGGTAAAAAAAAAAATAAAAAATAAAAGCATATGTAATGGAAACTAAGTTTCCATGAAAGAGTAAAATTGGACAATTAATTGTTATAAGAACAAATATTGGCTAATACTGAACTTCAAAAAATAGGAAAAAAAAAAAAGAAGAAGAAGAATATAAAGGCACGAAGCTTGTTATTTAGCTGCCATACGTCACTATTGTGATCGCTATTTTATCACCGACTTATGAGTAGCCAAAAGGAAAATAAGATTATAAAACATTATTGTTGACGGTGAAAATTCGTCAATAGAAATATAATAAGTTTTATAACGGTTTGTACGAGTTTTTATGATCAAAATTACAGTTAAAAGTAGTTAAAAAGTAAGAATATACAAGAATTATAGTGGTTCATTTTTTATTCAAGTGCTACATCTACTGTGCGAGCTGGAGATAATTCACTACTTCTCAGAAAGAATTACACACTCTAATTATTCTGAATGAGATTTAAGGATTTTTCTACCTACAATCCCTTATTTATATCGGTGACCATCATCCCTACTGATTTTCTTATTTAATTCGGGGATATTTCTGTCATCTTTTAGGATAGTTTCTCAAAATATGGAAATTACAGTCAATCATGACGATTTCATTGCTTAAATTTTGTATATTTGAATTGCAAGTAGTAAATCCCGGGGCAAATCTGACATATATCTCGACTTGCATAGATTCGACTTCATAAGCGCTCTTAGAACCATCTTCGCCTATAATTGTTGGTGCAGTCGACTTCATGTTGTCTGCATCTCTTTAGAGCATTCGACCTCTTATATATGCCACACCCTTAACTAGCCATTCGACGTAGCGGCTAGGGTTGAGCTGTCATCGATTATTTAATACTCTCACTTATGACACATGAACCCTATTCAATGTTTATTTTAGGGTTCGAAATTTTATCCTACAATAATTATGTAACAAGGAAAGTTGTTTTTTTAGTTTTTTTGCTCAATATTATGAGACAATTTTCTTCGTCTCTTCTATTCAAAAAAATATTGCAACTAGTGGTAAATATCTGCTACTAAATCTTTGTCCATCAATAACATCCATTTTTCTTTGGTAATAGTACCTCTAAGTATAAGTTAGATTGTCAACATGTTGCTAAAATAAAGAAATAACAGTTCTAGCTTCTTGGATACGAGCATGTTTCTTAATTTATTTTTGCCCCTTCTCTCTCTTTTTTATAATTTCAATCTATTTCACTTTTTTTGTTTTTTGTTTTTTTTTGTTTAGATTTTTCCCCCTCCTCTCTCTTTGTATAATTTCAATCTGTTTCTCTTTTTGCTGCTTAGATAGTGCAACTTGAGATATATACAGCTTTCTTCAATAAATGAGCACACATGTAAAATCGGTTTCCCAATTACTTCAAAGCTGAAATCACAAGAGATTAAAATAAGAATATTAATGTTAACTTAGCCAACCATATCGAATTAAGACATGACAAAAAAGCAAAGGATTTATGGAGCAATTACCACATGCCTCCAACTTCCTTATCATCTAAAATATAAAGAGATTTAAATTTTTTTTTTTTTTAAACGCACACTTTACGCACATTATATTATCCCAAGTAAATTTTTTAGTTGATCGATTAAATTTTAACGTTCTGATTTTAAATAATTCATGTAAAGTAGTCTATTCATTAATCAAGGGATCAAAATATAATTAAATGATTAAAAATGCTTAAAATGACCCCCCTGCCGTAAAGTTTTCTTTAGAAAACCATTTTTTAATAAATGAAACTGACAATTAAACAAGACGGCACATATTAACTAGATGATTAGGGTCCACTTGGTGGTAGTCAATTAGTAATACTTATTATATTTATTGATTTCCAAATTGGAAAAAAAGCCAACGAACATCGACATTAGCAATTTTGGTTTAGGACAAAATCCAACAATGTGGTGCCCAAACCCGCATTTAGCAAAATGATTAGTACAATTAAAAGCTTTGAAAACTCCTTTAATCAAGGCTTTTTTTTAAAAAAAAAAAAAAGGGCAAAAAGGAAAAATAAAATGTCATGGTCTAGCTCATTGTTTAAAAGTATAGAAAGTTGAAGGAAAACCCTCTCGTCAAAGTAAGTGAGCCGGGATTTTGGACAAATTCCATTTCATCAGAAGAATTTATTAGAGCTATGCACTCAAACAAAGAGCAAGTTGCTGAATTGATATGTCCTTACCTAAAGAGAAGTCCGAAGTGAGAAAAACGAACAAAGAAGTGATCAAGGATTATTACGAATGATGATCATAGAGAGAGAGAGGATAAAATATTTAAATGGCAATCCCCCATGACCCAAAGCAAGAAAATCAACCAGTCATTATCAAATCCACTCGGTCGGAGAAGGCCCTCTAAAACAAAACATCATTTTCTCTTGCTCAAAAATTTTAATTAAGGAACCCCCCCCCTAAAGACAAAGGCGGTGTAAGCTTGAGCTACCCAATTCTTCATCCACATCCTCTCTCTCTCTCTCTCTCTCTCTCTCATGTGTGATGTGTGGACCCTACTTTACCTCAGCGGCGCCATTAGTCTTTACTTGGTTTCCAAGCTCACCCACCACCACCTCTCTCTCTCTCTCTCTCTCTCTCTCTCTCTCACTAGTCTCTTTAAAACGGCTTCATCCCATTAAATATAAAGAAAATCTTTAATATCACCCCTTCCCTCTTTCAAAAATCTCTTTCCTTCTCATCCCTCTTTTCTCTTTCTCCAAATCTTAACCCCATCCTTCCTTCCCCTTCTGCTTTAGCAACTTGTTCTGTTCCCCATTTTTTATTCATTCATTCCCCATAACACCAATCCCAAATCCTACCCATCACCCACCAATCACACAACACCTTAGATACATACCAAAACAATATATATATTATATATATATATATATTATTTAAAAGAAAAAGAGATAAACAAAACCATGAAAGGAGAATATCTAGAACCAAAGAATGAAACTCGCAACAATATGTTCTCTAAGCTTCAACACCACCACCACCACCAACAACTTCACCCTTTTGCCAATCCTTTCCAAGTGATCTCCCGCACCGAATGCCAAACCTCCGAGGAGGCTGACGACTCCGCCACGGCCCAGAAGCCCACCTCCTCCGATCCCAGCCCACACCCCGCCCCAGGAGACGGCGCCACCATCGAGGTCGTCCGGCGGCCAAGGGGTCGCCCCCCGGGCTCCAAGAACAGGCCCAAGCCCCCCGTCATCATCACCCGCGACACCGAGCCCGCCATGAGCCCATACATCCTCGAAGTCCCCGGCGGAAACGACGTCGTCGACGCCATCGCCACGTTCTGCCGGAGAAAGAACATGGGCCTCTGCGTCCTCACCGGCTCCGGTACCGTCGCCAACGTCACCCTCCGCCAGCCTTCCACCACCCCGGGCGCCACCGTCACCTTCCACGGCCGCTTCGACATTCTCTCCGTCACCGCCACTTTCCTCCCTCAGTCGGCGCCTCACGGTTCCTCTGCCCTCCCCAACGGCGCCTTCACAATCTCCCTGGCCGGCCCCCAGGGCCAGATCGTTGGCGGCCTCGTGGCCGGCGCCCTCCTCGCCGCCGGCACCGTCTACGTAGTCGCGGCTTCGTTCAACAACCCGTCCTACCACCGGCTTCCTGCTGCGGAGGACGAGGGGAGGAACTCGGCGGCGACGGCAGCGTCTGGAGAGGGACAGTCGCCGCCGGGATCTGGAGGCGGCGGGGACAGCGGAGGCCACGCGCCGGCGGACTCGTGTGGGATGTCGATGTACAGCTGTCAGTTGCCGTCCGACGTGATTTGGGCTCCCACGGCGAGGCAACCGCAGCATCCGCCGCCTTACTGATTGATCGTGTCATGGTCGTCATGGAATTAGTCTGACTTTCTTTTCTTTTTTTAATTAATTTTCGTGAATTATGTTTATTTACTGTGAATTTGGAGAAGCTTTTATGGTTTCCTTTTTTGGCATGTTTTAATTTCTTTTTGTTCAGTTTTTTTTTTTGGGTGTCGACGTATTAATATAGTGTTAGTGTTAGATTTGAGGAAAAATGATTATTAATTAATTAAATGCCCAGGGAGTTCGGAAGTACACTTAAGTGGGGTTTTTTTTTTTTTTTTTTTTTTTTTTTTTTTTTTTTTTTTTTGGGTTGTTTTTTTTTTTTTTTTTGGGGGGGGTTGTTCTTTAGTGATGTGATTATATCTATATATTGGTGGAGCATTGGTGAATAAATTGCTAGTAGCCTAGTACTAACTATTTCCTTTTTCTTCCTTTTTTGGGCTTCAAGTACTAGTAACTCAAAACTATATATGTATACATTGTTGTTTTTTGTTTGCGTGTGATTTGTGAAAGCATAAAAGAGATGTATAGCTCTTCTTCAATCATATACATGATACATCGAGAGTCATATACACATAATATATATAATATAGTATAATATATATAATATTTTAATGGCTGGTTGAATGGCACGTCAAAATCAGAAGACAAAACTTGTGGTTGGGTTTTGTTTAGGGGGAGAGGAGTAATTGGGTCGGTTGGGTTTTTGGGGATTGGCTTTAGAGTTTGGGATAAATATTATTATTCATGATTACATTTACGAGTCACTGTAAGAAGTCTTTCTTTTTTCTGCTGTTGGCTGTGGTGACAGTTTTAGCAGCATTACCACTGGTTCAAGATAATGCCTCATTGATTATGCTTTTGCTCTCTCTCTCTCTCTCTCATCTTTATCCATATCTGTTATTTTACACAGCTTAGCTTTGTTTCTTTATTTGGATAAAGTGTGTGCTTTGCCGGTGTGAATGTGTGATGAGGTTCTTTTCAGTGCTTCAAGAGGAGAGAGAGAGAGAGATTTGTTTTTTTTTTTGTTTTTTTTTTTTGAGTTATGGGAGCAACTTGGCTTTATTTAAAAATATGATCCGGAAACTCTATAAGATTAGAAGCCCCACTGAATTTCTCCTTTTTTTTTTTTAGGTGGGTGTTTTGGAGATCTCTCTCCATACTCCATATTGCTTTCTATCTCTGATCTAATCTGTACTTTTGGTTTGTCTCTTTCTCTGCTTCCCTATCCTTTCTTTGATGGGAAAAAAAGAAAACACAATTATTGAAAGGCAAAAGATAAACGCAACACCCCCTGAGGACCCCCGTCCCATCTTTCCATGCCCCTCTCTATTTTCGGTTGAGATTTTTACTTTTTTTTTTTTGTGTTGTTGTTGTTGAGATTTCTATTTGATTTGAAAAAATAAATTATGTCTGTTTTTAATAAATAAATTCATATTATATTTTAAAATTTTAACGTGATTTTAATTCAATTTAATGTTCAGGAAAAGTGCATTACTCAGATGCTACAGAAGGAACTTTGTTTTTAATTTTTAGTTTTCGAATTTGGATTTTAGAAATAGGAAGTTCCATGATTGGAGTTTAAGCTGTTCTACACCGAAGCAACAACACTCGTGCACAAACTTGGGCTCCTCAATGACCACCTTGTCGTATTTCTCCAAATGTTCCCTAATCACCACAAAAGTTATAATATATGGTCTGTTTATTCGAGTTTACAATTTGAATTTTATTACAGTAAAAAATTCTCAAAAATAATTTCATTTAACTTTATTACAGTAAAAAATTTTCATATAAAGTTATTGAGTTAAAAATTTAAATTAACGAATTAAACGGATTCTATATGTTTGTACTTAAAATAATGCGATAAACTAATATTCCAAGTACTTGAGTTTAAGCGTGGTCCTAGACTGCCTAGTTTTTGATAGAGACTTGGCAAATCTCTAGTGTTACTAACCAGATTTGCCGCGAGAAGTTTTTTGAAAAAGAAAGAAAAGAATGAAACTTTTATTTTTTTTTGAAAGTGTTATTTTATCCTACTGAACGGAATTGCTAATTTAGCAATTGAATTAATTTTTTAATACTTTGATCTATGAGTAGGAATAATTATGTGACACGCGTTATAAATTTTTAATTTAGATGCATAGTTGAAAAACTAATGTAATGATTAAAAGAGAAAAATTTTTCAATAGTATAAAAAAGCAGTTAGAGCTCTCCAACAAAAAGAAATGGAATACCCATATTGATTCTTACTTCTATGATCATTCATTTTTGTATTTATTATTTTGAAAGTTGCCCTCGTACTATGTAGAATAATACTGTTTAAAATGACTATTTAAGATGAGAGTTAACATATAGTTTAATGTACAAAAGATGCTTAATTAACGAAATTTAAGCTTAGTGTTATTCAAAACACAAGGTTTAAGGAACCCACTTTCAAAAGTAGATAGCAACAAAAGTTGGAGAGGAGAGAATTTACAGCTTACCTTTTTCCTCTTTTGTTTTTGTTTATCTTTTTATTTTTAACTTGGACGTCTTGAATTGGTGAAAAAAAAAAAAAAAAAAAAAAAAGGTATTGGAATCGTTTTAGTTCACTGTAGTGTGGTTCATCAATAGATAAGTGGTGTAAAGGGTGAGCATTTGATCCTTTCGTTGAATCAAGATGGTAAAGAATAAGCTAGGGAGTTGAAGAGTGGTAATTGCAACACTTTTTTTTCCCCCCCTCCAGTTGTCTAATTTTAGAAATGGGACCCGCACCCGCTTGTCAAGCAAATGGGAGTTTGATGACTCAATTGTCTAGATTTTCAAAACGGGGGGTTGGATAACTAGAAAATGGGAATTGGGGACCCAGTTATTCTCAAATTCTCAAAATAAAGACCCAAATATCCAAGGTATTGCGAACCTAGATACATATGAGCTAATTGCATTGTTGCATCCTAAATTTTGGTGTTTGACATCTTAAACCTGAGCTTTTAATGTTAATAACTAGGAGTTTAAGGCCCGTTCATTTTACCGATTCGTTTTTAAAATTTGAGTTTTGTTACAGTAAAAAGCTCTCAGAAACAGTCACATCTAATTTTTTTTTTTTTTGCTACAGTAAAAAGCTATCACATAAAGTCACATCTCAACTCGAATTAAAAACTCGAATCAACGAATTAAACGAGAATTTCAAACTATGTTACAATTGTGATCCTATAACTAATGATCGTCATTTGATGGATAGAAATTGCTCGAGATTTTACACAAATGCAAACACAAATTTTGGACTTTTATAAATTTTTTGCATTTTGAATCCTAATCATTCATTAATCGATTTTCGTTATTAATTAGATTGCATTGTCAAAAAAATATAAAATTTAGGATTTGGGGTGCAACAAATAAACTGACTATAAAATTAGGGCAATTTACTCACATAAAAACCCCTACTTTTATCCTGGAAGTTTGCCAGTGATATTTTTGCCTTGTTTTTTTTTTTTTCTTCTTTTTGAAGTGATTTTTGCATTGTTTTTGAAGTCACAAAGCTTCAATCATATGTTTTCCTCATTCACCAAAATTAAATAAATAAAAAAAACCACATGTTTCTCTTTTTTAAAAAGAAGAAGAAGAAACAAGAAACAAAAGATAAGGAATAAAACACACACACTCTCTCTCCCTCTAAAGCAATTCAGTATAAAAAATTGCGTTGCTCAGTTCACATAAAAAATTAGAAATATTCGCACCAAATGATAATTATCATTTAGAGTAAAGCCACTTCTTATCAATATCAACTTGTTTGCGCCCATTAATAAAAATAAAAAATAATAACTTGTTTGTGCGCACGAAGCTTCTTACATCATTTTTCTCTTCTCTTCTTCCGGTCTTTCCGGGGGTTTTTTTTTTCTTTCCCATCATTGCAAGCGTCTTGCATCATTTCTTTTAATGTGAACAGAGAGGAAAAATAACTGAAATAAAAAAAAAAAAAAAAACTACATCATCTCAATTATTAGAGAAAGTTAATATAATTACTTTTATAGTAATTTTGACTTTATTTGACTATTTTCTTTTTAAGAAATCTTTTAATTTTAGTTTTAGTTAACATATCTGGTCATGCATATGAAATTTCTATTCACGTAGAGCCTCATTCACAGTACTTTGTACCATTAAATTCCCTCTCTCGTTTTTCTAATAGCCATATTACTAAACCATGTTAAATCTCTTTTATCTTTGCTCCTTCTTTTTGTCTTCTTATTTAACTATTGTTTGGTAATATAACAAAGCTTAATACTCTATGCGCAACGATTATCATTTATGCGCAACAATTGTCATACTTGCGCTCTCAACGATTATCATTTATGCACAATTAACTCCTATGTCTTCATTTTCTCATAAATAAAAAAAGAGAAATAAAAAGTTCTGACAAGATTAAAATCTGATATGCGATCGTTCCATCTTAGGGGGCATATTAGAAAAAGTTGACATAGTTACCTTTATCAGTAATTTTGATTTTATTTGTATTTAGTTTCTTTTTAAAAAATCTTTTGATTTTAGACATGGATAACTTTACTTGCTTACTTGATTATAATCTTGTAATTTCTAAAATTAATTTTATAAATGCCACCTGAACTTTGTACTATATTTTATATGCTCCTGAATTTTGAAAAGGGTTCATTTCATCCTCTAAAATGCAAAAAATGGTTCAAAACACCTTATGAACTAATGTTAGTTGACAAAAAGTAATTTAGGGGGCAAGTTAAATTTAAATCAATAGTTCATTAGACATTTATAAAAATATAAGTAGTGTTACATCATCATTTTGTTTGTTTCATAAATGCAGGAAATATTTTAAACTAGGGACTAGGGTACATAATTTAGATAGTAAAATGAACCATTTTCAAAATTCAGGGAGTACGTTGAAATAAAGTATAAAATTCAGAGAGCATTTATAAGATTAATTCTTATTTCTATTTATATAGAGCCCCATTTATAGTCCTTCTTTTCCTAATTCTTGAGTGTACGTATATTGTCAAACTACGTTAAATCTCTTTATCTAATTGTCTTCTTCCTTTTATTTTCTTATTTAATTATTGTTACCAATCTTGTTAGCAACTGAAAGAAATATCGTTCAATTGCAGATTTTCCACCCAATATTATTGAAAACATAAGAAGTTAGAGGGAAATAAAAAGTTCATATACAAGAAAAATGCCAAAGAACTAAACAAGCAACACAGGGAAAATG